TCCTTTCAGTGCCCACTGGTTTCCTAACTTGAAGAAACCAAAGGTGACTGAGTTGCAGCCATGATTTTAAGTTTATTAAGAGTCTGTCTAGGTCCTTTGGCAGAAGCAAGATCCCTAGATTCACAAAGCCTAAAGCTGTAGGAATGGAAACACAAATCCCCCAAGTGGATCACTTGGAGAGATTGTTAGCTGGGCCAGTCCTAGTTTTATCCCTGAGTTCCCTGATCAATGTAATTCAGCCTGTGGGCAACGGGATGTCATATAATGGCCACTCATTTTTTTTAAGTGTACTAAATTCTAAAGGATGGTATTCCACCCAGAAATCTTTCCTTAGCAGGTGACTCAATTACACTTCAGAAGACCCTTCCCATGCTCTTTCTGGCCAGTGATTTCAGAATGGTACAGAATGTGACAAAACCACTGGATCCCATGGACATATATGCCCACACCTGAACTTTGTTGGCCATACAGCGGGCTGCTTGTCTAAGTTGATATATGGGATTCTACACATAGATCTAACATTCTGGGACCCCATGAGTAATAATATTGACTACAGCACTATATAAAGGAAAGTCTAATCCATATCGAATTACATATCAATTATAGTCAAAGTGAAACATTGTCTTTTCCTAGATGGAAAGAGATCAAACTGTATGAACTTGCCAACAAGTAGCAGGTTGGTCTTCCTCAAACAAACATGATTGAGCCTCTACACTGGTTTTTATTGTACATAAAATTAATTGCAGCAGCTGTAGCTTTCAGCTTTTGTGATTACATATATGTTTTGGGGCCATGCTTAGCCTCCATCTCTGCTGCTGTCGTTTTTCTATTCATATGCTCACTGCACAACCTATCAGTGGTCACTGATAGAGGGTGGTGGATATTATATAACTGACTCATTCTCTCCATTTGATTGCTCAGTGCTTCTTCTGAAATGGATGCTCTCTGGTGGACGAGAACCTCCAACCCTCACATATTATACCCTCTCATTGGTGCATCCACAAGTTCTCCCCCAGACCTCCTTGTCCCTCATATTCCTGGGGCCACTTCTCTATACATACACAAAGAGAGTGACCAAGTGCAGTATTTAAAGCTGTGCCCCCTGGAAGGTTTTTTAGTCACCACTTGTACTAGAACCAACCATAAGTGAGGTTATAAGGCATAAGTAGACCAGTTGGGTCTTGGAATCACAAATCAAGCCAATTCACTAATAAATTAAGTTCAGTTGTTTTTCTTCCTCTATCTGATGATAAATGTTCCCCATGAGGTCAAATGTGAGAGCTACTCTAAAGATGACTGTGCAATACAGACAGAGCGGTAAGTGACATAGGTTTCAGGGTCACCTGTTCATACCAAGCAGAGGGCACAAGAAAGTTTGGAATGTACCATTTTCACTTTAAAATGTATTTCTTTTGGGCCCCTCCGAACTTATGTCTAAAAGTATCCAGCTCTTGAGGGGTAGTCCTGGATACAAAGTAAATTGAGATTCTCTGGTTAGATGGTCTACTATGGCCTGCTAGGGCTATTTTGTAGTGATATGTCTTTCTTTCTGAAAGATGGCATGGCCTTGCTCTGGAACCCTAGGTGTATGGCTGTGGTTCTCCAGTTGGAAATTTCCACAGGCCCTACATTGCCTCTTTCTGTACTGTATCCATCTCTCCTACATGTGACCTGCTATGTTACATTCCTACTCTTTCTGTACACCTCATTCTTGCTGTGAGTCTCACTCAAAACTAGAAGCTGTACATGTCATTCAGTAAATTAAATCAGAACAGTGCTCCCAAGAATAGAATATGGTGCTTTCAGAATGTGAAGAGGCCCCACCCAAAGCAGTGCTTCTTTCCTATGGGGAAGGGCAAGATACAACAACTTGTCCTGTACTTTAGATGAGAGGTCTCAACTTGCCTCAGTCCACTGGACCCCTAAATACTGGATATGTTTTAGGCTCTTGAATCTTTGTAGGATTTCTCTCTCATCCTCTGGAATTCATGTACCTAACCTACCCTCCAGAATACATGACACTTCTTGTTCATCAAGTTCATCAAGAGTGGACTAATGATAAATGTAAACACATTGTATACCTAAAATGTACCAATAAAAGAACTTAAGAATAAAAAAAAGAGTGGACTAATGAATTGTTCTTTGGAAAGTCCAAATGGTCTATGTTCCTTTTGAGTATATCATGACACATAGAAGGAAGATTAATGTTGCCCTAGGGCAAGACTAGAAATGTGCATTGTCACCTATACTATATGATGTGAAATATTCCTGGCCCTACTTCATGAAGGATATTGAAAAAAAATGAACTAATTTAGCCAAAGCTTAAGTGCTTGAAGCTGTTATCTGCTCTACTAAAACTACCACATCCAACACAGCAGCTACAAATCTACTGCAATTTGCCATGATCCATCTTAGTTTTTCAGGAGCCAAACTGGTAAATTGAATGAGTAGAAGTGGGGACCACAACTTTTGTATTCTTAAAAGCTGTAAGGATGACTTTAATCTCTGTAATACCCCTCATATGCAATATTGGTTTTAATTTAGTATCTTTCCTGAAGTAGTCAGATTCAGGGAGATTTATTTGGCCTTTTCCACTACAATAGATGTCACTGGTCAAAGAATCTACACAAGAACTCTTTCAACTATGAGGTCTCTGGCCATTTCAATTATACATTTAGAAACCAGTGCAGAGATGAGCCATTGGTCCTTTGACCTCTAACCTCTCCTATACTAACACAGAGCCTGTTATATTTTCAACTGTTCCCAGGAATCACAGACTATTTGTACCCTGTATCCAATTTCCCTTAAAAGATTTGTGCATTCCACATCTCTGTTTTGTGATTATCCATTTGAACAGTTATAGTTTCCATTGAGGGAATTAATTGCCTGTACCTCTTTTCATGGTGTTGTTGAAGTCTTCCTCATGGAAAATTATCTCTTCTTGAGGCTTAGACCTAAAAGCTGAGCAATGGATTATGACTTTCTGTAGAGACAGCTGACAGCCTTCTGCATATCCATTTTCATCCCTTTTTAATATATAATTTATGTATATATGTGTGTGTCTGCATGTGCACACATGTGTGTTTGTGTGTGAATGAATATGAAAAATATATACTCTTATTGGCCTCATAGTTATCTCATCTCCGGGAATAGTATGTTCTATTGCCAGTCTCACAAGAGATTATATTGAACCTATATCTGGTATGACATTCTCTCTTCACTCCTCTTGGTGCAATCCCTTCAAGAAGTATTCCCAGGCTTCCTAAGTGCTTCCTGCCTTTAGCTGACTCAGCTACTCCCCACTTCATTATACTGAGATTGGCCTTGATGACAGTTTTGGTGACCAGTAGGGAAAGTGGGGAGGCAGCCTGTTAAGGACAAACATTGTCTTATAAGGCACCTTTCCCATGTGAAGCCTCTTCAGGCATGGAGGCTTGTAGGCCTGTATCCACCAACAAGCAGGAGGGCACTTCTTCAAGCTCAGAAGTCTCAGATGAACTTGGGGATTCAAGTTGCCCCAGTGCATATTTACCTATGCATCCCCACCCCAAGTTGTAGAGTCTTGTTCCTTCCCTGTCAGGGTCCTGAATTTTGCATTGAAATTTTGCCAAGGCTGCAATTATCATTTTCTTTGAAGTTCTACCACATTTCCCAATCAGACCTGCACCTGGTTTTCAACTCTTTCTGCCCTCTGACTACAGAAAAAGTGTTTACTTAAATGCTGCAAAAAAAAAAAAAGCCCCACTCTTTTCTTTAAATTGTGAATAGATTTGAGCCTATTATCCTCCTCTGTGCTTCAACAGCACTCAGCTGCTGCTGTCTTCCACACTTCTCACACACTGGAGACACTGCACCAGCTGTCTTTACCCATAGGTACAGTGAACACCTGATATTTATTGAACTATTGTGCCCGTTGCATTTGATTACATGTGATTTTAAAATCTAGAAATGTCTTCCTTTTCCCTCTTAAAGGTAAAATTATCTTTCATATGGTGAACGTATCTCAATGAAATCAAATTCAAGTTGCATGGTATGACAAAGGACTATCAAGCTTGTTGTTAAAACTTTGAAATCCTAGAATTTCTGGGTTATATCAGTGGCTCATGGGGAATATGCCAGATATTTGCAATGGAGATTTGTGATAAGCAGTGTAAAGTCCACATTCTAATCACTGGAATCTGTGACTATGTTACAAAGGGGAATAAAGAATAAGGAATAACTAGGATTCAGATCAATGGACCTTATAATAAAGAGAGTATCCTGAATTTTCCAGGTGGGGCCACTGTAATCATAGGCTGCCTTAGAGTTTTATTCTGTTTCCATAGGGGAGTCTAGAAATATTTGGTGGTGATAGGATGGAGTAAAAGGAGGCTGGAGTTCAGCACCAAGTGTGAGAACTGGGAAAAAAGGAGAAAAAAATCTTCTTTGTTTGTGTAAACAGCAATCGAGGAGGTGTGAATTAAATCTGAATGCAGGCTAACTTTGTCTGATCAGTGGATCCAGAAGAAAAGCACTTTGTTTGGCTATTTTGACATTTTCTTTGTTAATTTTTCACATGAATATCTTATATGGCTTATGGGACTTGTGTGCCACCAGTTGGAACTTAAAAGCTGCAAATTTGTAAATTCTTTAAACAAAATGTGTATGCCTAGCAATGATAAGAAGTAAAATGATGGGCAAGTCAAATTTTAAAACCACTGGCAATTTTTAAAAATTGTAAATACCATCATACCAATAAATCTTCAAACTGAGAGTCATTGGAGAAGACCACAACAGTTATTGTTGAAATGAATTCCCCAATATAATCAGATCATTTGTAAAAGTAAAATCGTCTGGAATCTGTTATCTTTGTCTCTGCCACCAGAGGGCACTACAACCTTTGTAGACAAGCATAGCCATTAAACACTTTTCTGTGAAAATATTTTTGGTTTTTGGTTTTTGAGGAAGCAAGCATGTAGGGCAGAAAATAAACACCAAAAGTATATTTCACATTTTTCCATGTCACTTTACTAGATATTTTTTTTTGTTTTTATGTTCATCTTACAAGTCAACTTCAAAAACATAAAGCAGGACAAAGGAACCATGCCTCTTTTTTCAGTACAGTAAAAGGGTAGATGACAAAGAATAAAAGCACAATGGAATTTAAGACATCATTTCCACATTAAGACCTTGCCCCAAACACCATGCAGTGTTAAATCACATCCCCATCATGCAACGATATTGAAACATGTGATGTAAAACCCTGCTTTTCATTATAGGGTGTTAAATGTCTCCATGGGCTAAAGGTAAAGGAATATTAATACATAGTGATTAAGTTTTCTCACAGGAAGAGAAATATAAAAACATATTTTTAAAAACGTAAAATCCATTTTTTAACATTTCTGATGTGGTAGTGTGGTCATATGGGGAAGAAGAAAGAGGTATGTAAGAGGCCAAGAAATTGTTTCTTGCTCACAATGCAGAGAAGCACATGGCTGCTTGCATCTCATTCACTAGCACAAGCAGCCCATTTCATGGGGGTTGTAAAAAATCTAGTTAAAGGGGTTTTTATTTGTAATTATACATGACAAAACCATAGGCAGGCAGTCACCTCCTATTGCTAAGTTTAGATTTCTCTTGTGAAAAAAATATACAAAAATATTGGGAGGGAAATAAATGGGAAAATCTCCATTAGACTGAAGAACAGACACATCCTAAAACTTCACTTGGATATGGCAGCTTTCAATATAAAGTGACATTTGGATAGTAAGTACTTAGCTCACTTACTAAATCTTTATCTGTGTGGCTCTATCAAAATACTGTCTTTCTTTCTTACAAAGCGAGATATGTCCACGAATTTCAGTATGGCTTGAATTGGTATAGCACCTCTCCTCAAGAGACTAATAATTTTTTTTCTTTTAATTTGTTTCATCTCTTTGATGTTGTGATCTGTAGTCTCCTTAAGGAAGTTACCATAATTATATGATAAGAAATTGAGGGGAAAATCAGAGGACTAACTCCTAATCTCTAAATTGAGTCTCTGACATCAGACATGATACACCTTGGAAAGAAAACAAAATAAATGCTCTCCATTCCATTAAAGACAACCGCTTTCATCTGAGGTTCCCACAGCACTAACATGGAATCTAACTTACAGGAAGAGATGGTCACAGATAGCCCAGCAGCAGGTGGGAGCTGGACCTTCAGCAACAGAGATGCTCACAACAGAGAAGCCCCTTAGGGTACAGGTGACTGGTTTAGCAAAAAGCCACCAGGGGCCAGCCCCGTTGTCCTGAGCCCCAGGACAACAGACAGCAGGATCCAAATCATACTTCTTCTTCCCTAACTTGCTCTGCTCCAGAAGCAATTTTGCAAAAACAGGCTAAGCAGGGAGGAGCTAAGTCCTGAGGTTCAAGCTCAAGTTCCAGCTCCACCACTTGGGGCTGTGGGTCAGACACTTCACTGTACTGGTAATCTGCAATCATCCCACTTAGATCACAGGGCAGCAGGAGAGGTAGGGATGGGATGGGAGAGGGGGGGAAAGAATGGACCACACCAACCTGCAAACTACAAAATATTGTGCAAATGTAAGGCATGAGTTCACACTGACTCCAAACACAATCTTTTAGGCCTCCTGCAGTCATAGTAATTGTAGGCTTAGCATTCTTTCTAGGACTTTGGTTCTATTCTGAGATTTGAGCCTATTGTAGAAAAGCAGGAATTCTTAGAAGCAACATGCACACTTCAAGCGCAAGATGGATGTGGGATTCAGTGTGTATTTGCAATCTACCAGCAAGTGAGGGTATGATATCAACCTCTAGTCTGAGTCTACAGGCTAAATGGGTTTCCATTTCCTTTCTGGGTGGCCACAGTTCTGGGTTATTCCACAGCCACAGACTCTGTGGTTACACCAGAGGGTACAGGAGTCTTCCATTAGACCCCATAAACTATCTGAAGTCCATTTCAGAGATGACCACTCCTCAGCAATAAACTGGAAGTAATCCAGTTTTCTCAAAATCATTTGGACCATAAAAATGACTTGAGGGCAACGCAGAACTTGGTAGGGTTGCTCCTACACTGAGTGTCATGCAAAGTGTCCCACACCTGCCTCTTAGTGGCCATAGCTGAGGATGGAAACTCACAGTAGCCGCCTCTGCTTCCTATCAGCCTACACCCAAGTGGAAGCAATTATTTACAAAAGAGAAAGCACTAATAAGTGAGCAGCATGGTCTGAAAGGACAGGGCATGACATCATACAATTCATCATAACTTTCACTTGGAGATGCTTACCAAAGCAGAAACTTTTAAGTTAAATTTTTTGCAGTAGTTTAAAAATAACTTTAAGGTCTACTCAAGCAATCTCATGGCTGAGTTTGCCATTAAATTTGAATAAAAGAATTACATTGAAAGTTCAGTTCAACAAGTATTAATGAAAAGCCAAAGTAAAACATTTAAATGTTACGGCAAGCCCTACACAAAGTGGAGCTCCTTAATTAAGGGAAAACTGTGTAGGGTGTATAGGTTAGTGCTGCAAACCAAAAAGGGGTGGAAGTACCCTTTGTGTCACAACTTGATTTCCTCCATTCTGATTCCTCCTTCCCTTAACAATCCACCTACACTGTGAATCCCAAACCTCAACATTCAAATACCTGTTCATCACAGAAAGAATCAATGAAAATCTAAAGCAAAGAAATTAAAGCACTGACCTCTCAAACCAGGGCATCATCTAATCCGAGCGGCTCATTTTCTTTATGCTCTCCCTGGTGTAGAAGTGACTCCATGTGTGCCAGGCCACGCTTCTAGAATTACAACTTGCTTCCTGGTTTTTTGTTTGTTTGTTTGTTTTGGAGTTTTTCTTTCTTTCCTTCTTAATGCTAAGGTGTTTTTTTGTTTGTTTACAGAGTATGATGACTTCTTAGCAAAACTTGGGGAAATATTCAACAACATTTCCAATGGGTTTGCAGATGTAATTCAGGCAGTTATTTCCATTTGAATGGCAAGCCGCACTTTGATGGTATAAAACTGCACATCAATTTGCTAGCAGAAGGTAAAGCCAAAACAGGTTCTTGGGGATTGTGGTTTGAAACATGAGGAGAAATCTGTATTCTGATTGGCAACCAAAGGCTTTCATGTTGCTTCTCTACGAACACTTTTTTAACAACAATCCCCAAATTTCTATTAAATCTTTAGTCAAAATATTACATTGCTTATGTTTCATTTGGTCTAGGGTTTATGGTCATAATGGCATAAAGCTTAAAGTTTATCTAAAACAACCTAGAAGTTATGAGATACAGGGAGGGAAGAGGGGGGGAGAGGTGCCCTATAAAATAAAACATTACCAGTACATGCTCCCATATTTTTCTCAAGATTTCCTGAGCATTCCTCATTCATTATAGTGCAACATAACTCCAATAAATCCATAGTATTTTTGTTTTTCTCAAGCAAAATAAGTATATACTTCTAGCATATATATACAGAACAAAACATATAATAGTATATCATCTTTCAAAACACTAGTAATTTGAACTTCTATAAATATATTTAAATAAGAAACAGATAGCTATTCACATAGCACATAAAGTGACATATAAAAATAAAACCATTATGTTTAACTCTTTTGTTGTTGTTTTGATTGCTTTGGGCTTTTTCTCCCACAAATAATGACATTAAAGCAATTCAGAGGCCAGAATCATCTTGTCGAGATTGATCCCAGAAAAACTGACTATGAACTCCTACTGTGTACAGATACCACACCCAAGGTCAAAAGCAGCAAAGCTTCCCTTGCTGGGCTGGTAACTCTCTCCTGCCTCTGTTCAGGAAAGCTGAGAGAGAGTAGAGGTCTCCAACTTTAATGAGCTAGTTTTTTCTTAGTTGTTGTGAGAAAAAGGAACATTGGTCAGATCCCCTGACCAGGGTGAAATATGAAGATGCCAAGCTGTCTTCTTCGTGAGTGGAATGCAGAGCTCGCCTCCTCAGACACTTCCATACACCATTCTGTATCAAGTGTTTCTCAGCAGGAGAATAAGACACCACCATTCTGCACCAGAGGCAAGCAATTTTTGCTCTGCCATATCAACAAGTAACCTGCTCCAGCTGCTGCTCCCTCCACTCACACTAGAACTCTGAGCCCAACAAGTGGACCACATACATGCTTCTATTGGAAAACAGAATGTTTCTGTGAAATAATGAAATACTTATACCCCTAGTAAAACCGGATCTTGTGTCCATGGTATGTTTTAATTCTCTTGGACACGAGGGGCAGAAGATAGATTTCTCATATCCACCAGAGCTCCCATGAGGAACATTAAAATCAAGGCTCCTCAAAGGAACTCAATCCTTCCCATCCTAAGGATTGTGATACAGGTAGAACTAGGGGTTCTGCTGCATTTGATTACTGTTTTCACCCAGGCTGCATCTTTAGAGGGAGAGCTGATGCTTTAAGAACTTCAATTTTCCTTTTAAGGTAAAATGGAAGCTCTTGGCTACATCCTGTGGAGTTGTTTGCAGTAGAATGTAAGAAGGGAGAGTTCTGGCTCTTTCTCAAATAGAACTGTCAGCACAGACAGAAGGAGGGGTTCTTTTGAGATCCTGGGGTCGGCCCTCGGGGGCAGGAGGGGTGTGCTGCTGCTGATGGATGTCCTGGATCAGCAGGGTGTTCATGACTTTCCATTCTCTGTATTTCCTGGCTGTCAGCTTCGGATCATCCAACAACTGGTTAATCATGGCCAAATCATGTTCTTTACACTGTCCAAGTAGAAGAGAGAGAGAAGCGGGAGGCTAATGTATCTTAGTTTTCATAATACATTCATCAACACTTTAACAAATACATATTCATCACAAATTTACCAAAGTGTTTTGCACATTAATATTCTAATCCCTACACCAAACCTATGAGATCTGGCTGGATGACCCATTGTCTCATTATATATGCTAACTGCAATGCAGTTAAATACCCTACCCAAGAGTCAGTGGAGAACTAGACACACAGCCAAGTCATATTCTATGTGCACTTACCTAATCCATCCATTATTCCACACCACAGAAATCATTCTCTCTTGGTGTGAGCACTACTATACACCTTTTAAAGTTTATAATTTTATATAGAAGCAATTTCATTGTCCATCCAAACTTTACTAAGTACAACGTAAGACTTTCTCTAAGGTATAATAAGGTAACCACATATATCGTGTATATGCATATATAAAGAATACACAATTATTAAGTTGTCCTAATTCAGTTTAATAAATTACATGTAATGAGTACATGTAGAATACAAAAGTTAACTTTTTACTCAAAGAAGACAAACCTAACCTTCCCTCTAAACTGTATGTATTCCAATAATGCTAATACAATCAAAAGTCTATTACTATTATTTCACTAAGTATTCGTGCATCCTGAGTAACCAGTGATTCACATATTTAAAAAAGAACTTTAAAATTTTAAAACCTGGCTTGAGTTAGAGTTTTGGGTAGTCAAGGAGTGGAGTAAAACTATGGTGCATCATCCTTCACACTAAAAAAGAAGTCACTTAACCCTGATAATTTTATCTCAAATTATTTTCTCCATCCCTCTGACCATTACTCTCCTATTGAATACAGGGTCCAATATGTCACATTTGCTCTGCCACCTATTCTAAAACTTGAAGTGACAAGAAACCCTCTTCACCCCTGTATTCTCAGCATTTAACACAATGCAGAGTGCCACGTGGACCCTTCCCTGCTGAACCACCCACTCTGCCTCCTCCCAGGACAGCGTATGTGCAGCTACACTTCACAACCATGCACTCTGGTCTCACTCAAATTCAAGAACACTGCCTGGAAGGAGACTTTCACTACTCTCCAGTAATCACATTTTCACATCCCTTTACTCTCTATCTCCAAAATAACTATTTTAAAACTTCTCTCCTCATCTCAAGCCTTCCCTGCCTCACTTGCAATTGATGACCTTGCTCTCATTAGAGAGATGTTCGATAAATAGATGACAGATAGATGATACAGACAAAGATAGATAGATAGCGAGGCAGACAGATAGATAAACAGAGATAGGAAGCCTGCTTTTTGGGAAGGAGAAAAAGCAGTTCAGGAAGGTACGCCAAAAGAACTGACAAGCATGGGACCCAGGACGAGGAGGAAAGGAAGATGAAGTAGGTAACTTGGGGGGTTGTTTGTAGACAATCAGGCAGGGCCAAAGAGTTTTACTTCTTTTCTCTGAGTTCTCAATATCTATGTTTCAAAAAAATCTTTTCCCCAAAGGATAATAAATAATTAATGAGCTTTCCTTCTCTGATATCACCATAGTGCTGTTAATACAAAGTTATTTAAGGAGTTTTATTTTGTTCTAAAAATATTTAGACATCTGCTTTAAAGGGAAATCGTAATATTTTATTGAAAAAAAAACTAAACAGAATCTTTCAAAATTAACCAAAAAATTTGGAAATTGATTTTTAAATCTGATAAAAGTTTTTAAGAAAGGGTCTCTAATTTAACACAAGACCTAAGCATTGGAAATGTGTTCCGCCAGAGCAGTTACAGGGAAGAGAATGCTCATTCCTCTTCAATACAGATAGAGTAACTCAGAGAAAGTTTCATTCAGACCCATTAATCACTCTATTAATCATTCATTTATAAATAAAGACAAGCTTAGCCAAAAGTCAATGAATGCTGAGCTGCCAAAAATTCAAACATATCTACATTTAGTGCATGACATGATAGTTTACTCTACTTCCAAAAAGAATTTCCAAAAAAAGCATTCATTCTGATAAAATCCTAGTGCAGAGATCTTTCTTTATGATATACCTGTCACTAATATAAATATTATTTTTTAAACAGTTTCCTTGTTTCTGTACAAAACTGCCTTTGCTTGTCCATCCTCCAGCTTTGAAGTATTTTTTAAAATACTTCAAATAAATAAATGTTTGTATCGCAATGTAACGTCCATAGGGAAAAGTGCACAAATACGTTTGTACTTGGTGAATTATCATGTAATGAACACATCTATTTGGGTGTAAGCAATATTAGCTTCCCAGCACCTTAGAAGCTCTGCTTGTGCCACCAACCAAGCAAATTCTCCCCTTCCCCTTAAAGGCAGCAGCCATCCTGATGGCCCTGAATTTTAAAAAGCGCTTTAATCCCCAGTACCAAAAAAAAAACCAAAAAACAAAAAAAAAGAGCTTTAAAACTTATTATAGCTTTGCAACATGAATAAATACACATGCACCAAACTATCTTTAGCCATTGAATAAGTTGATGTGCTTTGTTTTTAATGTTTTTTTTCAACAAGGCCAATTTCCACATCACTGTGTCCTCCTGAGGTAAACAAGACCACATAACATGGGTCACATCTCATCAGCCCCAAGCAATATACTTTTGGGAAGCCTCAGGGCCCTATGGAAAGGACTGCTTCTCACAAGTGTGCAGACAATAGTTCAACTGGTTGTGGAAAGCAGCCCTGAGATGCCCTTAACGTTCCCTGCTTTTTGGTATTCATGTCATTGTGTAGTCTATGCCTTGAGTACAGATGGACCTAATGACTTGCTTCTACTAAATAGTATAATAGAGAAGTCTTGTTATGTCACTACTGCAACTGGATTATAACTCATCTTGGTTACTAACTTTCCTTGTCTCACTAGCTCTGAAAGAAGCCAGCTTCTAGGTTGTGAGCTGCTCTGTGAAGAAACCTGTATGTTACCTCCAACCAATAGCTCACGAGCAACTTGCAGGAAACTGAATCCTGTCAACAACAAAAGCGAGAGCTTAGAATCAGATGTGTCCTAGGGGAGAAATGAATGCAGCCCCAATGACATCATGGTCAGAGCCTCAGTGAAGACCTAGAAGGAGCAGATATACAAGCCATATCTACATTCTGGACCCACAGAAACCCTAAAGTAATAAATGCATCTTCTTTGAAGTTGCTACGTTTGGGAGTAATTTCTTACCTACTGGAAGAAAAGAAAGTGTTGCTGAATTCATCCATTACCATTGAACCATTCATCTTGGCCACAATGCATGGAAAGCAAAAGGTCCCAGAGAGCCATGTGGACTGGTGTAGTGGCTAAGCTTAATTTTGTGAGCTTGATTGATTTGGGAGCGTCCATGGAGATTAGTAAGACACCCTTCTGGATGTGTCTGGGTAGGATATGGAAACAGCCTTTCCTCTGGTCCCTTCCTCTCTGGCACTGTTCCCCTGCTCTGCTTTCCAGTAGCAATAAGCTGAGCATTTTTTGCTCTTCTGTCTTAATGTTCTGTCTTCAAGCCAGATAAACATGGACTGAATCCCCTCAAATCATGATCCAAATAAACCTCTCCTCCTTTAAGTTGTGGGTATCACATATTGTGTGCCAATAAAGGAAAAGTGACTAAACAACTGTAAATTCTTGATTTTTAAGTCAGAGCATGGCCCTATGAACATCTAAAATCTTTAGTCTGCTGATCTGTGGAGAATTTGAGGCCACAGTCTCTCCTACAAATGGCCCAAGCCTCCCGTGCTCTCCTTAGACTCCTATTTCTCCCAACATGGACTGTGCATATCATCCTCTGGTAGACATTCCACATTCCTGGAAGCCTTTCCCTTCTCTTCCAGATATTTCTCATCTCTTACCAGCCAGTTGTCATCACCTCTGCAGTGCTAACCCTAATGACGCTAGAGTCAGTCACATCCCTTCTCTGGGCTATCAAAGCCTCCTGAACTTGTACCCCACACAGTACTTTCCACACTGCATTAAAACTATTTGCTTCCTCTCTGTTTCCATTACCCAAGATGTTCCATTCAATGGTCACAGTGACCTAGAATAGTGTCTGGTACACAGTAAGATTCAGGAAATAGCTGTTCACTAAAATAATTTATTCACTCATATCAACTCTTACAGACAAATAAGAGAGTAAAGTCCTTACATACTATGACACATGACATCCAATGATTCCACATATTAATCAACTCTGCACACCATATAGAATGACTGCTGGTAATGTCTTCTCATCATGAATATAAGGGAATGTCTCTGTATTTGAAGTGTCTTTGTATAATTAAAATACACTCTGCCTTTCTTTTTACAGCCTCACTTGGACAGCCTTCTAGGGTGCTTTAGGTCTTCTAATGACTAATTGGGATATCTGAATAACAAGAGCCACTCAGTCATCTCTTTGTAGCCTTGTCTTTTTGATTGCTGATTTTTCTTCCTGGAAAAGGACTCACATTCTTAGTGCAAAAGGACATGTACAAAACAGAATTAATTGTGGGACTTATCCAGGCTTTTCAGAATCTATAAATCTTTGGTTAATTTCGGACTCTTACAAATTATCCTGACTTCCTCCTACCCATGTTATAATCGAAATGTGAAAGCAGGATGCTTGTGTTATGAAGAATCATTTTAGTTACGGGAGGTCCTGAAAATAGCTTCAGTTCATCCTGTACACTGTCCCTTGCTCCCATTGTGAAAACATCTGCTGGTCTGTGACCACAAAGTGTACACCTCCCACTAGGGCTCACATAGTGTTCCTTGGCTGCAGTGCCTACGGCGAACAGGCTCTGCTGTACCCAAAAACCAGACATTTTCTCCTGGATGCAGTACAGAAACATCTTACTGTTCATTCTCACCAACTGGTGAGCTCTCTCCAATCAACATTTACTGAGCCATGTATAGTGCTAGGCATAAAGGTTACAAAAACAAATTACACATGGTCCTTGCCATCTAGGAGCTTAAAATTCAAACTTTTATATTGGACTAAACATAAAATCAAGGTCTTTTGTCAAAACCTGCTTTGGGTGCTACAGTATGAGTGTCCTAATGCTTTAAGAATGTCCAGAATCATCTCACCATATAAAGACTGTATTTATGCTTTCCTGCCCTTCCTTCATCCTTACAAACATGCTGTGATTAGCATGAATCTCTCTGCAGAACCAGCTATTTTTTGCCTCACCTCAACAGAGATCATCCAGTCTGAAATTGTCTTACCTTTAACGTGCTATTCAAGGTTCGGATTTTGTGAAGTTTCTCGTTTATAGATGGATTTTTGCACCTCTTAACAAAGGACTTTCTCAACTCCTTTTTGGTTGAAGGTCTTCGGTCCCCAAGCGGAGATAGACTAGCTTGCTCTAAAGATTTGTAAAGCTTCTCCATTTCATCTTCAGCTGCTTTTGTTTCTTCTATTTTAAAGAAAGTAATAACAACAAGCCCAGTTAAAACCACCAATAGAACATTAGAAAATGTAGCCCTAAAGTGTGCTCCTGCTCACACATTGATCTCAAACTTCTCGCCTCCAGAATTGTTAAGACAATAATGTTTTGTTCTATCAGTTTGGTGGACGGTTGTGACTGCAGACCCATGCTTCCTTTGAGGATACCAGGGAACACCTGCTTTAGGCCTCTCCTCTGGCTTCAAGGGTTTCCTTGTTTTGTCACAGCATAACTCCAATTTTCACATTGTGTCTCCCCAGGTGCATGTATCTGTGTACAAACTTCCCCTCTGTATAAGTACATATTGGATTAAGGCCCCATCAGAATGCCCTCATTTTAGTTAACTGCATCTGCAACATTCCCCAGTGAGGTCACATTCTAATTTACACAGGGTGGAGAAAAGGCTAGGACTTCAACATTTGAATGTTGGTGGGACAAAATTCAACTCATAACAATACACCCTGTGACCCTTCAAGATTCACATTCTTCTCACATGTAAATCATCTTCACCCCATTCCATATCCTAAAGTCTTCATGCATTTCAACTCTAAGACCAAAATCTAAACCAAATATCACCCAAATTAGGTATTGGTGAAACTCAGAGATAGATTCATCCTGGTATAAAATTATTCTTCATCTTTGAACCTATGAAACTAGATAAATTATCTGCTTCTAAAACCCAATGGTGGGATAGACAAGCCTGGAACTGATACATGCCCTAAAGTTTGAGCACTGCCAACCTTACTTGTGAAGTCTAAACTTAATTGTGACCCTGATTGAATTATGAGACTCATGGAAAGGTTATGTGAGTGAATTATGGGGATCTGAATGTGCTCGTAGGCAATGGAAATTTCTAAGAGTCATTCCAAGAATCACGAGAATGGAGCCAATCCTTCTGGGACAGGGATCTTGATGGGGCTATTGAAGCCCTCTCATCCTACGAGAGCCAATGTGTTGCCTTGTTAAACTCCTCTGAATACGGTTTTTAATCACTGACAACTATGAGCACCTCAAGTGATACCGAGGTCACTCAAAGAAAATCTTCACTTTTTTATGTTGCTTTAATTTCTCACAATGAAATTCAGTCCTTTATTCTTTCATTTCCAGAAACTAACCTTGGTAAAGATACACAACAAGATTTCTTTTTCTACCATGTACTCCTTACTGTTTATATGTTCCACCTCCTATCACAACTTCAAAGAGACCCCATAAAAAATGTGGCCTTAAGAAGAGCAGAACATAACAGGCTCTACAAAGAGGAGAAAAAGCATATAATGAAACTCTAAGAGCACCAGAATCAAACAAACTTCATTTACTTTACTATTTTAAGGTCAGAAATTCTTAAGCAAGAATTCATTCCCTCTCACCCCTAAAGTCACCATAAGTGTTCACAGCAGTCTTATAAAATAGAGAGCAAATATGTTGCACTACCTTTGTAACTGACTTCCAGTATTAATCACCACAAGCTCTCTGTTCTGTAACAAAACAGTTTCAAAACAGGGATAAAACATTTAAAAGTATCTGAAGTCAATTAGGCTTTTGGCTCAGGCTGGGTAAAAATATCAAAAGCAGACTTTCATCAGTAAGCACATGAAAAGATGTTCCACATCATCAGTCACTAGGTAAACGCAAATCAAAACCACAAAATAGCACTTAACACCCAGAAGGATGGCTGAAATTTAAAAAATATAGTAGTAAGCATGGTCAAGGATGTGGAGATATTGAAACCCTCATACATTGGCAGTAGGAATGTAAAATGGAGTCACCACTCTGGAATAGTTTGACAGTTCCTCAAAATGCTAACCATAGAGTTAAAATTTGGTCCTGTTATTCTACTCCTAGACATACACTACAAATAAGTGAAAACATGTTCACACCACAAGTATACATGAACCTTCACAGCAGCATTATTCATATTAGACACAAGGTAGGAAGGGCCTAAATGTCCATCAACAAATGAAAGAACAAATAAAATGCTGTCTATGCATACAAGGGGAATACTACTTAGTAAGTAAGAGAAATAAAGCACTAGGTCACCTACAGTGCTACAACGTGGATAAACCTTGAAGCCACTGTGCTAAGCAAAAGAAGCCAGTCATAAAAGGCCACAAAATATATGATTTCATATACATGAAATTCATGATTCCATATACATGAAATATAAATGAAATCTCTATCATACATCAATCCATGCAGACAGAAAATAGGATAACAGTTGCCTGGGCCTGGGGAGGAGATAAGCAGTGAAAAGAAATGACAGGTAGTATGTAGGACCTTCTTTGTGTGGTACTGAAAGTGTCATGAAAAATATCTCAATGCAGCTGTAATAAACAGTAGGTTTTTATGATATTGTCATAATAGCTGATGTATGTTTAAAGCAGAAGTTTTAAGTATGGCAACAGTCCGGGAAGTAATCTGGAGACATAAGAAAGTCTCATGAAAACTAAATGAAAAGATATCCTACTGTGTATGGCATATTATGATTAGAAGCTCAATTTTCAGATATACAAGGATGGACACAGTAATCTCATGTGCCATTTTCTAAAAATCTCTATTCAGGTAAAACTCTACTTCAAATTAAGCTTAAATACAAAGCTCTCAATATCTAGCATTTTAAAATTAAATTTTATGGCACCATTTTTTTTTTTTTTTTTTGGTACCAAGGATTGAACTTGGGACCCTGTGCTTGTGAGGCAGACACTGGAACCACTGAGCTAAATCTCCAGCCCTAAAATTAAATTTTATATGTGTGCATATCAAATTTTAAGGAGGAAAATGAACAAGTATGTGACAGATCTTTAGATTTCTGTAAGTCCACTAAGCAGATCGTTCATGGTACTCAAGATGGTGATAGAAAACAAAATTGTTTTTCACTAATACATTTATTTTGGAATTATATCAAGGTTAAAATTATTATAATCATGCATTTGAGTCAGTAGATATTAAATCAGTAAAGATAAACATAGAATCTTGGAATAACATGACATAGAGTACATTCCCTAAATGAAAAAACAAACAGGGTTCTTTTGAATAATTTTATTATTATTTAATATTTTTATATGAAAACTCATTATCTGTATGTTTAAAATATCAGAAGCTGTATTTATTGCCCACCTCCCATTCCTTTCCACAATAGAAACTTTGGAGTCGCAGTCATGAGTCTATGTGTGTGTGATTCTATGTGGATATTTGTGTGTGTGTGTTTGTGTGTGTGTGTGTGTGTGTGTAAAACCTGATCCTCCAGGAAATAACTGAACATTCAAATTCACACGGGTAAAATGAACCTGTTTGGGTTACTGAGAGTTAACATAGAATTCCTCTAAAATTTATATATAATGTTCACTTTCTATTTTAATTCATCCAGAAGCAAAATAATAGTTCAGATAAGATTATAGCTGTCAGGGAAATGAGGGGAAAAATGAAAGGCAAATTACTATTTTGGTTTCTCTTTCTTAAAAAAACTTGTTGCTGGTAGACTATGTCTGACCCCTAATAACCTGATTCCAGAATCACTCACAAACACAAGGAAAATAAAGTAACAAATGATGATGTTAGGAATCAAAAAATACCCTTATTAGCTTTTTTGTGTGGCATAAACTGAGAGATGTACAACGTATTACTCAATAGTCAGGGAACATACCTGTGATCCGACCTAGTCCACAACCTATTCAGGGACTTTGAATTGATTTTAATGGTGCCAATGGCTGATACCTAATTCTTTTTGGGGCCAACAAGTGAATGTCCAATAGTAATGGAAGCAGGTGATAGGATCATAGGACCCAAACCTACAAGTACACAAAAGACACAGCCTGCACCTGATGTCAAAGCAGGGGTGAGAGTTCTTCCTGGTTGCTTACCAGAACTTGCCCTGGCTGGTCAAGCCTCTCCCTCCACTCTTACACCATGAAGACGTTTGTTGGTAAAATATTACTTTTTTAAGAGTAGGAAATTTATTGAGAAAATGATAGCTTCTGTCTAAGAGATGTAGAAGGGGCCCAGAAAGTGGGTTGCTCCAGGTAAAATATTATTTTTTTTAAATCCCTACCATTTTTATGCAAATATTTTTCTAAACTATTACAGCATACTAGAAAGCACTAGATTTTTTTTATCACCAGATTTTAAAGAGCAAGCCAACAAAATTAGCAGAAAAGACAACTTGTCTCTCGCATAGGAAATAGAAGCCAAGTTAATTATTTCCACCTCCCTTATCTCCTGAAGCAAAAACAAACGAATTTTGTCTGAGAGTGAAGTGTTTCCAATGCAATTTTTACCCTTCCTCTCAAATGCCTGCTTTAGTCTCCTCTCCCCACATATCATAGCATGCCTTTGATTTCCATTGCCCCACAAGGCACTTTATCATCTATCTCATCTCACCTCACAAGCACTTGGCCAAGGAACATAAAATTATTATTATTTTATGGTAATAAAAATGAAGTTTCTCTAAAAACACTAAGTGTTGAGAAAAACACAAAATGCAAATCAGTGATGGAGCTCAGAATAAAAGCTTACTTCCACACCACGCAGGCTCCATGTGCTTCTAGACAAGGGTCTTCGTGAACTTTAACAGAAAAACAGTCTCCCGGGGAGCTTGTTAAAAATACAGATTCTGCTTAAGTCTATCTTTGAGATTCTGAATGCTTACCAAGCTCCTGGCTGATGCTGAATCTGTTGGTCCATACACCATACGTGAGTAGCAAGGAGAGACCATCTGTTAGCAACTTTCCAGGCAACACCAGCCACGACTCATGGGAAGAGTAAGGGACAGAAGTTATAAGAAGCAAGTTGGAACTTGTCCATGAAGCAGCATTTACTGACTGTGCCATGTCCTCATTAAAAAAGAAAGAAAAATCTGGCTTTGTGCAATGAAGTATGTCCAGAATTCCACCTTGAAAACATCAGCGTTTCATATGTTGGGTGGGTAGGAATTGGAGGCAAATGCTAGAGACCTTTAACACCTTAAACTACCTCAG